ACTTGAAATGAACAAAACAACGAAAAAAGCGTACTGAATAAACAGTGCTTGTTTACATCACATATGAAACGCAGTAAAATACTTAACATATTCATTTTTTGTTGTTGTTGCTGTTGTTGCAATGAGCATCAACAAAAGAGAATTGCGGAATTCAAGCGTTATGCTTTCCGATGGTCGAGTGCAAATTTGAACTAGAATGACGAGATAAGCGATACTCGTTTTCTCACACTCTCCGCACACACATATCGAAGGGTTTTTTTTGCGGTTAAGTAGCAGTTTTATCCATAACATATGGGGTATATCTATTTGCTTTTCAGCTTTGATAGCTTTCTCGTCTCTCACTCTCTTGCATTCGGTCGCGTGGAACAGCATTTGATAAGAAACAATGACCCCTTTTATTCAAAATGGTCCCAAGTGAACTGTCAACTCTCGATATCAGTATGTCTTTTGCCCATTTTGCGGATCACACATTCTCTTACTGATACATTTCAGTTGTTGTTTTCGATGGCACAGCATCGCGACCAGAATACAAATTCGAATGGTGATTCAATGTGTCACTTTGTCTGTTGTTGATGCTTTTCACTCTGTTTCTCTCTCTCTCTCTTTCTGTCGGATTTTCACTAGATATATATTTTTACTAATCAAATGGCCGTTGGTAGTGGACAGACGGTACGAGGAGAGTAGTTCGCAAACTGAACTGTATAACATTGAGAAAATCATCTGATAGTTTGTATGTGTGCGGCTCATGAATCACAATTCATTCGACCGAAATTGGATCAAATACAATGGTTCGCAATGAAAAAGTATTGGTTTCACTCCTTATTCTTGATGTAAAAGACTTTCCACTCGTACAACTACAACAGTTCGAAATTTTCATCACGAAAGTAAAGTCCTTTTCTTTACACTAATAACATTATTTATATATTGTTGCATTACAACGGCTTTGCGTCAATGTCAAGTGTCATCTGATATGGGAGCCGAAAATTCCATCAGTTTGCTGGATATTTCTCAAACTTCATTTGTCGATGGAATTTTATTCCAACACATTTTGTATGACAATTTTGTGCATGCCGTAAAAAGTTGCTCACACTTCGTTTTCTAGAGAGAGCACAACTAATAAACAGTTCGAATACAGTTTTCTATTGCAGCGATTCTATTTTCATGCAACAATGTTACCTCGTAACTTTGTGATTTCTTTGGTCTTCACATTGTTTATATAGAAAAATTTGAATTTTGAATTCGTTTAGAAACGAAAACAAAAAAATTGGAAATAAAAAATAAACAATGAAAAGTAGAATAAATAGATTTCAATGCAAACAAAGTTCTAAAAGAAAATACACGATTTCAAGAGTTTATTGGTAAAATGTACACATCTTTATTGCATTGTTTACATATTTGAACAGCCCCCAATTTCGTTATTGGAAGACAATTTTCCAATTAGGAAGTTTTTTGGGGGTGTTTCGATGTGCAATGTCGACACGAACTTTACCTAGCTTACCATCGACTTTCTTGTCGTATCCCCTCAAAAAGACTTGGTTTGGAAAGTTTACTGTTTGACTTGTGCACACACATACACGCAAACATTTGCCTTTTGAAGTTGCTTGCCACTAAATTAAAATGAAAATGGTTGTGACAAGAAAAACCGCCAAGTCAAGTCGCTGATCGAAACTGATTTCTCGTTGAATCTGGCAAGTTCGGTGATGAGTAAATCTGTGCGCAAACAAAACGGTGTACAAATTAAATTGGAAACACATATAACGAATTGAGAATGAATGTGTATGGACCACTTTTGGATAATGGAACAAATTCGTCGGAACATATAAAACAAATTAGGATGAAAGCCAAACATTTACTATTGGCTACAAATTACAAGAGAAAATAATCTGTTACTTAATATGCAATGTTGGTCTCCGCTATTAATAGACAGCACAAAAGAAACCAATATATAATTTGAAACTCGAAGTGTTCACGTTCATTCGACGTTCTCTTTTCGCTGTTGCACGTTTTATTTATATGTAAAAGTTTCGCTTCTTCTTTGTCTTTTTCGACGAGACACCACTACTTTCATTGAAACTCCAACAACTTGGAACGAACAAATTCGTTAAGCCACTTTATTACACACAGTCATTTCCTGCACTCACTTGCTGTTCCGAAAAATTTGTGATTAATTTTCAAAAGAAACAGAGAGGTAAAGAGAGAGAGAGAAAGAAAAAAGATGTTTTTCAACTTAAATACTTAATCTAAAGCTTTTAAGAGCCGTTCATATAATACAGTTGAGTACTTTAATTCGCTGGAAAAATCACAAATAGATTCAATTGGAAAGCACTCAATTCCGATGAATCAAAATGAAAATCAATTAAATACTCGCAACGAGTGTCTTAATGCGACTTAATCGCCGTTTTTTTGCTATTTTTTTGCGCCATCATCATTCGCCCGAAAGTGAGAAAATCTTGCGCGTTGCTCCGTTTCTCAAAAGAACATAATACCATACTCGAAAACTTCGCAAAATTCATTGCTTCTTAACAATCGGTATTTTTTTTTATTCGATTTGAGAATAAGATGATTGATTGGAGTCATAATCATTCAACTACAATTTTCGAGGTGTTCGAAAATCTCTTCACACATTTTCGCAGCCATAATACAAACTTTAAATCCATTGCTGTAATGAATTTTTTTATTGAAGACGCTGAACTTATAGAGACGCAAAATATTTCCGTCGCAATCAAACCGAAGTAGTTTATCATTGCATAAATATAGATACGCACGCAAACAGCAAACAGTTTTGTTGAGATGAAATCTTCGAGCATACGGCGTGTTGGTTTCTTTGGTGATGCTTTACGTGTGGAAAGTGTATTGTGGAAACCTCTGGCTAAAGACGTGTGTGTGTGTTGATATTAAATTAAATTTATAATGAAATTCCCAACGGAAGAATAAACCATAATAGAACGAGCAAGGAATAAAGCCACCATTCCACGTAATAAAAGTCTCACTTACCGCGTTTCACATTCGTTATTTCAATTCAACATTCGTATAAACCGCTTGTTTATGAGTGTACGAGAGGAGAGTGAAAAAAATAAACACATCTATAGTCAGCATTTGTTTATTTCACACAAAAGCCAAAGCTCGTGTATGTCTATTGCATTCGTGTTTATTCTGACAAAAAAAAAATACTTTCACAACTCAATTTGTTTATATCACAGAGGTATTTTCAATCCTTGTTTTTTTTTCTGTCATTTTCGCCGTTGTTTTGGTGCCAATTCAAATTGGCGAGAACACCGATGAAAATTTGCTAGATATCATTTACTTTGCGCGTCGCATATGCATAAATTGAAAGAAAATCCATGCCATTTCGCATTGTTTCTTTCACTATACCATATTATCTGTATCACAGACAAAGCTTTCCATTACATCCATTTGAACATCTCTATATTCGTCGCCGGAGCAACCAAAATAAACTTATTGCATATATTTTGCATATAGGCTTTGTTCATCGCATTCAGGTATGTTCGGTGTTCTCATGATGTTTACGGACCACCGAGTAATATTCAACGATGGCTGTTCACGTGTTCACCAAAAATAAAATCATCCGAATCGAATGGGCGAATATTATCCACACTCTGGAGCATCCGCAACAGAAATTGAGCTCAATGTTCAATGCTCGTTTTTGTGCATGTTTTGCATGTGTTTCTCTCTTTTTTTTTTTGCAATGGTATGCAATATGGTGTGACACATTTACAACACTTTGTTGTTTTAACACCTAGTTGAAAACACAGAAATATCCGCCTTCGACTCTCTTTTTTGCGTATATACGAATGACGTTTTCTCGTAAAAAAATGTTACACCCTTAACCATACTATGGATTTTTAGTGCCATATTCTTTTTAGCACCTCGTATATTTTTGAGGATTAAGGTACACGTTTTTTGTTCTTTCGATCGAAACTTTTACTAGTTTTCCTTTTAATAATCATTTATTGATCTGAAATCGAATAATATTCATTTGATATGTTTATTTATTCGATTTTTAAATCATCAGTCAACAGATTATGACTTTACATTAAGCAATAGAAAAAAATACAAAGAATATCAATGAAATTCAAGAATCAACGTGATGAGTCAATGTAATTGAACACAATGTAACGATACATTTTTTATTCATTGCAACATGGCTTTGTAAAACCACATTTTAAAGCGATTCTTGTGGAATTATGTGCTACAATGTGAATCTTGGATTGTGGTTTTTGTATAATTAACTCATTTAATTTTTGAACCATGTAAATTGTAATACCGTTGCTCTTTGCCAATGCACTTTATAAATGAAATTAATCTGTTATTTTATTAGTGGAATAGAAACAATGTAATAAACTATTAACTTCTCTTTATAAAGAACGAGCACGTATTCTTACCATTTGAGTAGCTATAAAACTAGCGCAGATAGAAAATAAAAAAAAATAAAATATTAATTATGTATCTGATTAAAAAATCGTCAAATCGACCTCAAAGTCAAGAAATATTTATAATTTTGCTTGTATATTTACATACTATGACTTTTTTCGTACACTTAACCCAGCCTTTGAG